TATAGTAATTTAGAAATACGACCATAGACAATCAGAAAACGTTACTAAATACACTTGATATGAAAGTGCTAATGAAATGTGAATCCAAGCTGTGTACCTAAATGGTAATGAAAAACTAAAATATTAATTGTTACATTGGTAGTTTTACTCGCATAAGGTTTATTATAATATTTATATTTTGTAGTACTGAAGAGGGTTCTTTAATAGGACCGAAATGCATATACAGTGATTAAATAAAGAGAAGTAATTAGCTATCTGCTGTGTGATGGTCTACCGCTAAACCGAAAATTTATATATTTTTCGTGCGGATTTACAGAGACTTTATAATATTTATAAAAATGTTGTTAGAAATTTTAAAAAAGTAAAAGTTTTTATTCCGTTTCCCCATTACAATATTTCTCTGCATATTTTCAACATATCTGATCTCAAGAAAAAAGGCAGAAACCTTTCTATGTTAGAATTAAATCCACTCTTTTATGACAGTTGTAATAGGTGTTTAATGGATATATTATCTATGGGCAGAACTGTTAAGAAAATTATGCTGAAGTAAAAGGTATAGGCATAATTTTCCTCTCAAATTATCTTCAATCTATTCTTATGACGATCCTATATATTTTCTATGAGAGACATCGTTACAAAATTAATGATTAGAATTGGATTTTGTAGACCATTAAGATGATATATGTCCTTCTATTGCTCATTGACAATTAAAGCTACAGTTAATTTGACTTGTAAATTAAATTATTTCAATATTAGCATATCATGATGCTGTATACATGCAAAGAAGTTTTAAGTAACTAATTATATTTGGCTAAGAACTGGATAAACATTATTATCTAATATAAAGCCTATTTTTTTAATAAACTGTTTTAAGATTTAGACCTATAAACAATTTATTCAGTATTGTCATTTCAACTAAGAAAAATGAACATTTAATTAAAATTATTATATTTGAAATTCATGATTATATTCATAAGCAAAATTCAACTTTATCATATATTTATAATTATAAATTCTAATATTTTTATAATCAAATAATTGGTATTTGTAAAAATAATAATAAATTCCTCATTAGTTTTTATATATTTTCTTAATTCTTTATATTATGAGAAAGAATTACTGATAAAGGGTGTAGCAACATACATTTCAATTTAGTTTTACATTTGGAAAACATCAAAACTAATCAGGATTTTATTATTATTTTTACAATACTAATTATTTGATTATAAAAATATTTAGAATTTATAATTATGAATATATAATAAAGTTGAATTTTTTTTAATGATTATTACACACTTCAAATATAATAATACTGTAATTTAAATGTTTGTTTTTCATATTTGAAATGGAAATACTTGGTAAATTGTTTATAAGTCTGAATGTAATGTTTTTGATATCTTTAATGCACCATCTGTAGATCTACAGATGGTGCATTTATAATATAATGAATGCTTTCTTTCAAAATATTTTTTGTGATTGGAACATTTTTATACACATTAAAATAATCCAATTGATCTATATTTAACATTTTGAAACATTGAATATTTTTCAACTCAATTTGAAACGTTTTTACAAATCTGATTTAGGTATATAACAATTGCTAACTTGATTTTGTAACAGTTTAATGTTGTTATTTAAAAAATGCAGAGGGCATTATTATGCACTTTTAAAATTATTTACAGCATCATAATTTAAAATGGATTTTCATAAATATTTTTTTATCATTTTTAAAACATAATAGATGTTAATTTTGCTTAATTTGTTAAACAGTAATTTATAAACATATTAGCTGAAAATTTTAACTGGAAATTATAATAAATTAATTTTTGTTTGCTACAATTTATGTCCTTTTAATGCAAGATAAGATACTAAATTAAAGCTTAGATGTCATTAAACTGAAAAATTACTAACAAATGAAACTGAAGAGAGAAATAAAGTTTAAATTTAATGAACTTCTTTGCAAAATATGATTTTAAAAAATTGAATAGCATATTTTTATTTTATTTGTTCAAAACAAAAAATAGAGCTTAATAATTTAATTAATTTTTTTAAATTAAATTTAGTAGTGAACAAAAAAAATTAACATTATTTTATTATTAAACTATATAATTAGAGTTAAAATATTTTAATGTTATGCTAATTGTCTTTATTTATAATTATAACTACTATATAAAATTATTAAAAATATGTTTTCAAATGAAATTTAAGTATGTACTGTAAATGAAACATTTGATGTTAAACTATCACTTTTAACCACAAAGAAATTATCAATAGAATTTTTTATCTTTATATATAGTTCAATAATAAAAACTATGGAAAATTTTTCTAACCAGACAATATTTTAAAAGTTCTTTTAAATAGTTTCAACATAATTGAATTATTTCTTCAATATTTTTATTACTTGATTATTATGTATTTTAGTAATGTTATCTAAGTATGAAATTTAATTTTTTTTAATTAAAATTATACTATAAATCAAATATTTTTAAAGTTTTTAACGCAAATAAATCAATACTTTATTAATAGGTAATGCTATATTTTTTTAATGAGCTATATACATGATACAGTATGAAAGAGAAAGTACTGAACATTAATTAATTTAATGCCATTTTACCAAAACACCAAATGATATGGCCTGTATTTTAAATTTAATCAATATACATTACTTGCATAAGATACAAAATTTAAATAATTATTGTGTTGATAGAAGGATTTAAAAATTACATTAAGATAGGTAAAACATCAAAAAGAATTGTCCAAATTTCATACTGAAAAGAAATAGTTTAGACTTAAATTACTTTAATTTATAACAGTTTATATACAATTTTATAAAGGCCATAAAAGTATGCTTCTATATACATAACACGTTTTCTATATACACAGTCACTTTAATTTTTATAATGCTATATATGTTTATATACACAGTTCACATTTATTTTGTTACAAATTTAAAATCTACACAGAAATAATATTGCAATAATTACAATCATATAGCATAAAATATGCAGGTACTACATCAAAGTATTGTGTAATGACATCACATTATAAGAAAAAACTATTTTAAATGCTGTTAACTCTCTCAAGTTTTTTTATTAGACCACAAGGAGAAACAAACAAAGTATTATTAAATAAATTTTGAATTTGTTTTCTATATAATATTTTAAACTTATAATAATTATATCNTTATTACACACTTCAAATATAATAATACTGTAATTTAAATGTTTGTTTTTCATATTTGAAATGGAAATACTTGGTAAATTGTTTATAAGTCTGAATGTAATGTTTTTGATATCTTTAATGCACCATCTGTAGATCTACAGATGGTGCATTTATAATATAATGAATGCTTTCTTTCAAAATATTTTTTGTGATTGGAACATTTTTATACACATTAAAATAATCCAATTGATCTATATTTAGCATTTTGAAACATTGAATATTTTTCAACTCAATTTGAAACGTTTTTACAAATCTGATTTAGGTATATAACAATTGCTAACTTGATTTTGTAACAGTTTAATGTTGTTATTTAAAAAATGCAGAGGGCATTATTATGCACTTTTAAAATTATTTACAGCATCATAATTTAAAATGGATTTTCATAAATATTTTTTTATCATTTTTAAAACATAATAGATGTTAATTTTGCTTAATTTGTTAAACAGTAATTTATAAACATATTAGCTGAAAATTTTAACTGGAAATTATAATAAATTAATTTTTGTTTGCTACAATTTATGTCCTTTTAATGCAAGATAAGATACTAAATTAAAGCTTAGATGTCATTAAACTGAAAAATTACTAACAAATGAAACTGAAGAGAGAAATAAAGTTTAAATTTAATGAACTTCTTTGCAAAATATGATTTTAAAAAATTGAATAGCATATTTTTATTTTATTTGTTCAAAACAAAAAATAGAGCTTAATAATTTAATTAATTTTTTTAAATTAAATTTAGTAGTGAACAAAAAAAATTAACATTATTTTATTATTAAACTATATAATTAGAGTTAAAATATTTTAATGTTATGCTAATTGTCTTTATTTATAATTATAACTACTATATAAAATTATTAAAAATATGTTTTCAAATGAAATTTAAGTATGTACTGTAAATGAAACATTTGATGTTAAACTATCACTTTTAACCACAAAGAAATTATCAATAGAATTTTTTATCTTTATATATAGTTCAATAATAAAAACTATGGAAAATTTTTCTAACCAGACAATATTTTAAAAGTTCTTTTAAATAGTTTCAACATAATTGAATTATTTCTTCAATATTTTTATTACTTGATTATTATGTATTTTAGTAATGTTATCTAAGTATGAAATTTAATTTTTTTTAATTAAAATTATACTATAAATCAAATATTTTTAAAGTTTTTAACGCAAATAAATCAATACTTTATTAATAGGTAATGCTATATTTTTTTAATGAGCTATATACATGATACAGTATGAAAGAGAAAGTACTGAACATTAATTAATTTAATGCCATTTTACCAAAACACCAAATGATATGGCCTGTATTTTAAATTTAATCAATATACATTACTTGCATAAGATACAAAATTTAAATAATTATTGTGTTGATAGAAGGATTTAAAAATTACATTAAGATAGGTAAAACATCAAAAAGAATTGTCCAAATTTCATACTGAAAAGAAATAGTTTAGACTTAAATTACTTTAATTTATAACAGTTTATATACAATTTTATAAAGGCCATAAAAGTATGCTTCTATATACATAACACGTTTTCTATATACACAGTCACTTTAATTTTTATAATGCTATATATGTTTATATACACAGTTCACATTTATTTTGTTACAAATTTAAAATCTACACAGAAATAATATTGCAATAATTACAATCATATAGCATAAAATATGCAGGTACTACATCAAAGTATTGTGTAATGACATCACATTATAAGAAAAAACTATTTTAAATGCTGTTAACTCTCTCAAGTTTTTTTATTAGACCACAAGGAGAAACAAACAAAGTATTATTAAATAAATTTTGAATTTGTTTTCTATATAATATTTTAAACTTATAATAATTATATCATATAATTATCTTTTTCTATTATATGACATTCAATTTGAAATATATAACAGCTACTGCACACCGGATTGTATAAAATAAATATGACGTACTTGAACCTATAACCGATGTGTATCGAATAATCTTTCAACGACGAACGTTTTCATAACCCCTTCTGGGCTCTTCTTCAGGTGAAACAGCTGGATCAAACACCAAAAACGAAATTTGAATAAATAAGAACTCTGTTGAGTTTGAATCATTCGGATCGTTTGCTTATTTCGTCACATGATATGTTTGAATGTGATCGAAGTTAACGATCAATATCCAAATTCAAGAGAAAGATATTATTATGATACTTAAAAACGTGCGATTGAGATACATACTTATTCAATACTGTTCTCACATGTTCCCCAGTACCTTCTAAGTATGTATCTCAATTGCACGTTTTTAAGTATCATAATAATATCTTTCTCTTGAATTTGGACATTGATCGTTAACTTCGATCACATTCAAACATATCACGTGACGAAATAAGCAAACGATCCGAATGATTCAAACTCAACAGAGTTCTTATTTATTCAAATTTCGTTTTTGGTGTTTGATCCAGCTGTTTCACCTGAAGAAGAGCCCAGAAGGGGTTATGAAAACGTTCGTCGTTGAAAGATTATTTGATACACATCTGTTATAGGTTCAAGTACGTCATATTCAATTTGAAATATTTGTTGATCAGTTAGTCCACCAGAATGGTGGGTCTGAAAGCTTAGAAGATCCAAAAATATATACTTTTTTTCAGCTTTATTTCTGATAATGACATTTGTTTAAATTTATTTATTTTTCACTTAATTTTTTTTTTTTTTTTTTGAAAATTGTATGAGGAAAATCCAGACTTTATAATGCCACTGATAAAATTTCATATCATCACTTTAAAATAGAGTAAGGCATTAACTATTATCCATATATCATCATTTCTAAAAATTTAAAGATTCTTTGAAAAGTAATTCAATCCAAATCAAAATTTAACAAAAAAGAATCTTTTATCCATGAAACAGTTAATAACAGAATGGAAATTTGTTACTCTATTTTACTCAAAAAATTTTAAAAACTTTAAAACTCAAATTTTTATCAATTTTCATATGCCAATTATTTGTTTATTGTAAACAAAACTTCCGAATTCACCGTGTATTTTCTTCTATTCCTAGAAAGTTGGACTCTGCCATCTCCATCCACTTTTTCCGATTTTCCTTCACTCCAGTCAAGAGCGGTACCAATTTGTCTGAAATCTTGGCAAATGCCTGAAAGATTTTTAGAAAAAGTTAATTCTGATTTAAGAGTTTTTATTAGTATATTATATAATTTAAAAATTAGTTCAAACTTTTTCCATCCCATATAAAGTTTGTTTATACTTATTTTGTTACCATTTAAATTAAAGTGATCAAGAAGTCATTATTTACAGTGCCTTTATTACAAATGATGTACAATGTAGATTCACAGTGATGTTCTGTTTATCAGTTTGTATACAATTACATATATAATGATATGAGAAAAATTAACGATTATTTTGTTTTCTACTAAAAACTAAAACAGTACAACAAAATCATATTGCTTAATTATATACAATATTGATATTTTTATGGCAGGTTTTTTATTTGTATTATCATCTGGAGTTTCAAATAAATGGTTATCTATATAAAAAGTATAAATTATTCTTAAGTAGTCAACGGAAAAGTTTTGCCAAACAAGTTGTTGCATTGTAGTCGTACGCTATATGTTATATGTATTAAGTTAAGTTAGTTTAGTTCTTTCCTGCTATCCTTTGTTCTATTATTCTATCTCCTTCTAGAACTTTCCTATCTTAATCCCTGTCCCTTGGGTGGGATGACCACTTCCGGGAAACGGAAGAACAAAGAAGTTCGAATTACCCCGAGGACACGAGTAACGGACAAAAGGCATTCGAGGACGGAACTGCGAGAGGTGCAGACGTGAAGAGTGGAGACTTGAGAGTTGCTTAAACCACGAACTGAGGTACTGGAAAGATTGAGAAAGAAGTTTCCGTCCAGCGATAGCGGCAAAAGAATTTAGAAGAATAAGGATCGTAATACAGGATAGGAAGACGACGACAACTCGAGTTAGAAGTCATCGTGTGGCGTCCCACCCGACAGCACGTATAAGTCGAACATACCAACAAAAAAATCCCGGGTATTTCTTTGTCTATCATATATATTCCGCTTTCATCCTCCTACTTCTATTTATCTCTTCCACTAATATTAAGTTAGTATGTAAGTTAGTTATTAAGGTCGGGCCCTTTTATGTGATCGTGATTGGAAACGGTACAGTACGTGTAAATTGAAATATTGTAATAGTAGTAATATCATATACCATTTGTGTTAATAGTGACGTTGGAATCTATAAATAAAAATAAATTTTTTTTTTCGCAAAATTATTTCATTGTAAAAATCTTAATTTTGCTCACGTTCTCACAATGGCATCCGCGACAGGATTCCAACAATAGTCACATTTACTGCTACAAGGTCAAATTGTATTCTTATTGTACGTTTCCGTTATTATATTATTAAATATATATATATTTCGACCATGACATCCGGAGATGACCACGCTGAAAGTACGACGATGTCGTACCAAATGGTTGCGACAAATCCCCCTCTTATTGTTACCGGATTCTTGGGGATGATTCCCCAATATTCGAATTCCCCCAGTGATTCTGTCAATGTTCAACAATTCTTCCACACTGTGGAAAACGCGTCTAGGCTCGCTGGGTGGCAGGATGAAGTGAAAGTAGCTGTTCTCCAGGCAAAACTAAAAGGGGAACCTCTAGCCACCTTTTTCTGCCTGTTGGAACAATACCCGTCGTCATACCAAGACATTAAACGCGACCTCATAAAATGTTTCACGAGAAAGTCACCGAGAGAGAAAGCTGCCATAGATTTACTTATGAACATTAAACAAAATAACAACGAATCTGTTATGGACTTCATAGTTCGCACAAGAACTCTTTTAGCACGTGCTGTAAAGGGCAGCAAGAATATAGCCAGTCTATGTGATGATGTTGTATTAGAAAGATTTGTGAAGGGGTTAAACGGTAGGGTCAAGGGTAATGTTTTGAGACGCAGCCCTAAAACTCTGGACGAAGCTTTTGAGTTTGCGGAGGCTGAAGAACAGGTTGAGTTGGAATGTGGTGACGTGGGAGACAGGAAGGGTATAAATATCGTGACCCAGCAATCATCCGATAATTCAGGCCATCCCAACGAGATATCATCGGTCGTCGCTAATAAACCCGAAGACGATCAGATAAAGACCCTGGCAGCCGAAGTTAAGGCATTAACGGACTCAGTTAATCAACTATTAAGTATACACGAAAAGCCCATCAGGACCCAAAGGAGGGCATGCTTCGTATGTGGGGACCTCAATCACTTTGCTAGGAGTTGCCCCAAACGACGAAGGGATGCGTTAAACTAATAAGGGGTCATGATGAGGGCCAGTGTCATGTCCCCGACGTTGTTATAAAACTGACTCCGGAGGTAATCATATCTGAAAGAGGTCTTCCTATTATTAAAGGCGACTTCTCCGGGGTTGAGACCGTGTTCCTAATCGACACTGGGGCTGAAAAATCTTTGTACCACCTGGCCACTTTAAATAAAATGCCCACCAGTGTTTTGGAAAGGGTTAAACTAGAGGCAGCAAGTTTTGGGATTAGAGGAATTAGCACGACGGTACAAACTTGCGAATACATATTCCATGCGACTATAGAATACAGCGGTAAGTCTGTCCCAAACACCATAGCTTGTATGTGTTTCCCCGACCACCTCGAGTATGACGGTATCTTGGGTGTCGATGTCCTTAGTGAATTTCCTAACCTATTTGGTGAAATTAAAAAGTCCCTCTTAAGCACCCCCCCCCTTCTGAGAAAGGGATCGACTTCAACTCTTAACTATTCCTTTTTCGCGCCGATAGAATTACAGGGTTTGGAAATAGAATTACAGGGTTTGGAAAGCTTGGAGAAACATATCAGAGATAGATTATATAGTATATTCGCCAACTACCCGAAGTGTTTTGCTACATCGATTAGCGAACTTAAAGGCTCTTTGCATTTTTCACACAAGCCAATTGTGGAAACCCGTCAACCCATTAATACACGGCAGTATTGCATTCCTGAGTGTTATTTGAAGGAACTTAAAAAACTCATATCCTCATATTTAGAAGCTGGGATCATAGAGGAAAGCTCTTCCGCTTGGAATTCTCCCATTCACATCATCGAGAAAGCCTCAGGTGAATTACGTATGACTCTGGACCTTAGACGCATAAATGAGATCACCCAGCCCCAAGAATTCCCTTTAGCACGGGTTGATGAGATATTAAGCAAGTTTCACGGGAGTCAATATTTCTCGGTCCTGGATTTAAAATCTGGATATTTCCAGATTCCTCTTGACCCGTCAATAAGACATGTTTATGCATTCTCTACGCCCTGGGGTAAATATCAAATGTGCCGTTTACCCCAAGGGGCCAAGAATAGCGGGAGATTCTTTCAATATGTGATGTCCAGTCTTTTAGGACAATTTATTGGCATAAACTGTTTTGTATTCCAGGATGATATAGTCCTGTTTTCTAGGACTATTGACGAGCACCTCGAACTCCTGGATAAAGTCCTGAGCATACTGTCTAGCGCTAACCTGAAATTACACCCACGCAAGAGTAAACTTATAATGGGTGAAGTGCGTTATTTAGGACATCTTATTAATAAGGATGGTGTCCTTCCCGATCCTGATAATGTACAAGCTATTCGTAATCTGAGTCACCCTAAGAACGTGAAGGAAGTGAGAGGGTTCCTGGGCATGATTGGTTTTTTTAGAAATTTTATTCCAAATTTCGCTGAGATGGCTCTACCATTGACGGAGCTGACTAAAAGTAAACAAAAATTTATTTGGGATCAGAATTGCCAAGCTAGTTTCGAGAAGTTCAAGGCAGTTCTTACGAACCCACCTTTACTGTCTCACCCTAATTTTTCGGACCCTTTCCACTTATATACTGGTGCCTCTGATAGGTGCGCCGGTGCTGTTCTTGGCCAAATGAGAGATAATAACTTTGTTCCAGTCGGTTACTTTAGTAGGAAGTTCCGTGGCGCTGAATTGAATTATGCAACGATCGAAAAGGAATGCTTATCCATCGTCCTCGCGTTTCGTCATTTCAAGCCCATTATACTGGGTCATGGTCTGAGAATTTATTCAGACCACAAACCTCTAATTTATTTGAAGGATATGCAAAATCACAATAAACGCTTGATGCGTTGGTCCATGGAACTATCCTATTATGACCTTAGTATTTCTCACGTTAAAGGGAAGCAAAATCCCATGGCTGATTTATTATCACGCCCTATGGAAATCGAAAATCCTTCCAAACTTAAAGATTACAATCTTAACACTGTAAGCAACGATTTCTGGAGGCGGATAGTCGATTCTCAGGGAAGAGATGAGTTCCTGAGTAAGTTAAAATATAATCGCGTAAATAGAGACAGTAGCACTCCATTACATGACACAGGTATTCAACCTGAATATCAATTGGAGGGTGGGGTCCTTGTTCATGTTAAGCCCGGGCATTATGGGTTGCGCCAGTGGAAGCGAACATGTGTAGGGAAGGATATGATTGATGAGGTAATAAAGGTGTTCCATACCTCCCCCCTTGCTGGGCATTTAGGTGCCGAGAAGACCCACGATCTCATAGACCGTCATTACCATATTAGGAACCTCCTATCTCACGTGAAGCGTGTTATATAACAACCTGCGTTACCTGTCAAAAACATAACTTGCACCGTACCCGCGCTCCACTCCAAGAAACGGAAACCGCTGACTTTCCGTTTCAGAAGATCGCTATGGATATCATTGGTCCCCTTAACATCACTCCGAGGGGAAATAGGTATCTTCTTTCGATCGTCGATATATATACTAGGTACGCTGAGGTCTGCCCCATGAGTAATCAATCCGCAACAACCGTTGCCGAAGCATTATTCGAACGTGTCGTTTGCCGTTATGGCTGCCCTGAGGTGGTCGTGTCTGATCGTGGTGGAAATTTTACCTCGCGGGTATTCCAGGAAGCTTGTGAAACTTTAAAAATCAAACATAATCTCACCACCGCTTATCGTCCCTGTGCCAACTCCGTATGCGAGAGGTTCAATAAATCCATTTGTGGTGTGATATCTCGTATTTCTGGAGGGAACAATAGAGATTGGGATATATTTGTCCCACCAGCCCTCTTTTCTTACAATAATGCGTCTCATGCCTCCACAGGTGAATCGCCTGCTTTTCTTTTATATGGTTTCGACCCCCGTTTCCCCTGGGCTTTTCCGAGCGATATGGAGACTAACGTAACGAGTGACGGGTCTCATAACGAGTGGAGAGAGAGGTTAAAGTGCATCCGTGAGGTATCATATGAGTTAGGGAGACATAAAAATAGGTGTAATCGTAATCGCATTAATAATAACCGTAAGATCAGTGAATGGGGGAGCGGACAGCGCGTATGGCTACTCCGTAAGGGGAACGGAAGGAGGTTTGGGAAGTTTTCCGCCAAGTATCTTGGCCCCTTCCGCATTGTCCGGATGCTTGGACCCGTCACCGCCGAGATCGAAGGTAATTCCCCTAACAGCCGTATGGTCGTTCATACCGACCGCTTAAAACCCTGTTACACCCCGTTGCACTTTACTAAGCAGCCGAGGACATGGAGAAGAAAGGCTCCGGATACTACTGAATATGAGGATAATGACGACGTACCGACTTACATCCGACGCGTACCCGTGAGTTCTTGCCGGGGTCAGCAACCAGATCAGGAAAACAGGACCGAAGGCAATGACAACCTACAGTTTGGTGATGAAGGGAATAACGATGTGCCAAATTTCCGTCATAATTACAATCTGCGCGGGAACAAAGTGAATTACCGCAAGTTACACTACGGTAATTATCCTTTATGTGGGGAACGTATGTAGTCGTACGCTATATGTTGTATGTATTAAGTTAAGTTAGTTAAGTTAGCTTAGTTCTTTCCTGCTATCCTTTGTTCTATTATTCTATCTCCTTCTAGAACTTTCCTATCTTAATCCCTGTCCCTTGGGTGGGATGACCACTTCCGGGAAACGGAAGAACAAAGAAGTTCGAATTACCCTTAAGACACGGAGGAACGGACAAAAGGCATTCGAGGACGGAACTGCGAGAGGTACAGATGTGGAGAGTGGACACTCGAGAGTCGCTTAAGCCACGAACGGAGATATTGGAAAGAAGGAGAAAGAAGTTCTCGTCCAGCGACAGCGGCAAAAGAAATTAGAAAAGGGATCATAATACAGATAGGAAGACGACGACGACTCGAGTTAGAAGTCATCGTGTGGCATCCCACCCGACAGCACGTATAAGTTGAACATACATAACGAAAAAATCCCGGGTATTTCTTTGTCTATCGTATGTATTCTGCTTTCATCCTCCTACTTCTATTCTTCTCTTCCACTAATATTAAGTTAGTATATAAGGTTAGTTATTAAGGTCGGGCCCTTTATGTGATCGAGATCGGAAACGGTACAGTACGTGTGAATTTAAATATTGTAACAGTAGTAATCTCATCTTATTGTGTCGATAGTGACGTTGGAATCTATAATAAAAATAATTTTGCGAGGAAAAAAAAAACTTATTTCATTGTAAAAATCTTAATTTTGCTCACGTTCTCACGGCATAACTTCTCCAGCAAAAAATTTTAAATTGTGGTGGTGCCATCTATTGCAAAAATTTAGAAAAACCTATTTTATTATTATAAAGTGGCAAAAAACTTAATTTTGAAGGTAGAGATGAGTTTTATCAAAAATTGTAAATGCTAATAATGAGTAAAATCTTCATTACATCTGATCCTACTTAAAATATGGCACAGGATACCACATTAACCTTCAATCATGAAAATTTAATAGCATCACTCTGCTAATACACAAACCTCACTGCAAAATTTCAGAAGTTTTCATCAAGACACAGGAGGACTTTGAAGCTTCAAAGTGGATGAACAAAATTGTGCACTCCACACACACTAACATCCATACAGAAAATCCCCTGAAGTTTTTTGCATTTCTCATGTTTCAAGGTCCTCTGAGTCCAAAAGTGTAAAAACCTTGGTGGGTCATTTATTTTGATCAACTGCAATACTTTCACCCTGTTATATATAACAGCTGGGAAAGTAAAAAGTCAAGAAAACCCTTTCCTAAAGTAATTACATTTGTCTTTCAGATATTAAATATAAACATTTTATATTGATTCTCATTTTTACAATGAACCAATTTATGCTAAAAATATTATGAATTATAAGGTAACCTTTAATATAGCTTTCTTAGTGATTTTTGACAATAACTACTGTTCGTCTAAGTTTATTATGGTATATTTTACATAAATTAATTGTCATATATAAGGTGTTTAAAAAGTAACTGAATTATTAAAATTAATTTTTCTTTTATCTTAATAATCTTAAAGCTTATGTTATGAATCTTAAGCTATTATGTTTGATTTACCTCATAGACAGGAATGCAGATTGCATCAATAAATCTAACTTGCATTATTGGTAGTTGATCTTTTTTATCTCTGTTCATCATATCCTAGAAAAAAAATACAGATATAAATCTTAGACTATTACTAATTCTAATACAAATAAATAAATTTGTAATATTAAAACCATAAGAGAGAGTGGATTTTTGCCTATTCAGTTAGGTTTCTTAAGTTCAAAAGTATTTGTTTTGAACACAAGTTAAATTTCATATTTTTTTTTATCAATTGTGAATAACTGATTTTCACATTGTTTGCTAGAAATGTTTTGTATAGAATCAATGTAACCAAAGTTATATCCTTCGGTTTTTTTAACTCTTTCCTTCTGTGGGCACTAAGACAGCCTTCATAATCATCCCATTGTGGGTTGCCAAATAATGAAGATGAGCCCAACATATCCCGAACAGACTATGAAAATACCTGGGGTTGCTTACCCAGATTCATTTCTAGATTCCCCAATTTAATAGACTAATATTTCAACTGCCTTGGCAATCTGGCTACAAGTAAAGTTATGTGATACAAATTCAGACTTGTAAAATATAAATATACAATTGAGTCTGCATAAGTCGTCATGGGTATAACAAGACACCATTGGTTAAGTAGTCAGTTTTCTGTGGTCCCGGCCGACTTACATAGGCATTAATGTTAAAAAAAAAAAACTCTAGTTTCCATGACACCGTTTAACTCGTCACCCTTGGATAAATTGACATACTTTTTCTGTCCCACACTTGTTTAGACGCCTGATTAGTCAACTCCTTTCCTGAAAAAAAATGAGTTCACACCACACAGTTTAAAATCCAGTTTTGCATTTTCTCATCTTTCATTCATGCGTTATTTGCAGCAAGTGTTTCACATTTCTGTTAGAAATGATTATCTGAAATCTGACAACGTTTACATTGAAGGAAAAATATGAACTTGTATCTGAATTTGAATGTAATTAAACTTTGCAAGCTGAATTTGTATAAGAAGAAACCCTTCCAAGAACAACATTGATGGGAATTCTGAAGAAAAAAGGAGGAAATTAAGAAACATTTTCTTGGGCCTTCATCATGGCTGTCTCAAATACCAGAGAAGATGCTCTGGTATATTGGCTAAAGCAAATTTGTTCATCGAATCTTCCTGTTTCAGGGCTGATACTGAAACAAAAAAACAATGGAAATCACTGAGGTACTTGGAGAAGAAACCAACTTTATTGCCAGTGATGGATGGTCAGAGAAGTACATTGCATGTACTATATTTTCCTAATTGTAATTTTGTGGTTTTTTTTTTAACTTTGTTTCAGTCATCACATCGGATAACTCGACACATTTCCACTTCCTCTTGGGGTGTTGACTTATGTGGATTTGACTGTATTTGCAAATCAAAATTATGCTTGGAGGCATTTGGATTTTTAAATATATTTACAAATTCAGATGTCTCCATGCATAATTTCTTGTAATATCATTGAAGAATAAATCCATTAATGGCAAAATCTATTTTTAATATTCCATATACTCAGATTTTAAATTGTTTATACAAATTCTGAGTGCCTATCATCAATTTCACCACTGAAAAGAAAATGAATAGTACTTTAAATTTTCTAGATGTATCCCACATTTCATTTTAGAGTGTGATAAAATCAACACTTTTCTCATGTTCCATCCTTCAGTTTCACTAAATACAACCATATAAGAGAAAATGAAGAATGATTAGAAAAGAAATGCTCATCTGATGACCACAACCACCTATTACAATTGAAGCTAGAAAATATGAAATTTAGTGCAGTAAAGACAATGTATAATGAAACAGTATTTGCTGTTTTATTCAACCATGTTCACTTTTTTGAAAAAAGCACTTTAAATAAATTGTAAATTTATTCCCAAATTGTAGTGTACTCTTATCAATATTAGCCATCTATCCTTTTCTTAAAATAACAGAAAGCTGTGGATGTTTGAGTGGTCAAAAGTATACAGAATTTCTATTATTTCCAATAATAAGAAACTACTCTCCATTTAAAGGTAAGACTAAAAGATCATAAAAAGAATGAGAAGGAAAGCTTTAATAGATTTTTCCAATCAATTAGGTTAGAACTGAACATTATAATAAACTAGCCAACTTATAACCTTAACAGTATTTTAACTTCCTGTTTTTTTTGTGCCTTTAAATTATAATGATTTATACATTGGAGGTTGAAAAAGAAACCACCTATGGTCCATAAAACAGACAAGTGTAAATAACAAAATGAATTTATTACCAAAAGTTAGGTACAAACATGGTTCCTTTACAACATAATTACTGTGAAGATTGAGGCATTTGTTATATCTGTGGATGAGCTTTGCAATCCCCTCTTCATAGAATGTTGCTGCCAGTGACTTGAGATGGGCCTTATTGTTGTTCTGAAGATTGTCATTAGTCTCAAACCTCTACCCTCCTAATCACGTTTTCATTCAGGAAAGAGGTGGAAGTTGCTCGGCACTAAATCGGGGTATATGCTGGGTGTTTAAAAAGTTTCAAGCTGGGTGGAAGTCTTCACACATCTTTAATATGTGAAGACTTCCACCTCTTTCCTGAACTGAAAACGTTACTACAGGTCAGAGGTTCAAGACTAATGACGATCTTCAAAACAATGTTAAGGCCCACCTAAAGTCACTGGAGGCAACATTCTATGAAGAGGGGATTGCAAAGCTGATCCACAGATATGACAAATGCCTCAATCTTCATGGTGATTATGTCATAAAGGAATCATGTTTGTACCTAACTTTTGGTAATAAATTCATTTAGTTATTTACACTTGTCTTTGTTTTATGGACCATCAGAGGCTGAAAAAGAAACCACCCTCGTAATTATTTTATCTTATAATTTCTATTTAATAGTTTATGTATTTTGTTCAAAAAATTTCTTTTAATACTGCAGTCTTAGTTATCATTCCAATAATAATATTTATGATAAAATAAAAAATATGAAAATGTTGTTGATACTTCTGATCAAGATCAACAAAAAAGCTGAGATGATGACAATTCTTTGTAAAAAAAAAAAGATCTTGTTTAACTAAAATTAATATTAAAGCGTAATACAGTACTTCTAATTGTGACTGTTAATTAATTATTGATTATTAAAGCAATTGATAATTTATTTCCAAACATATTTCTCTTACAGGTTAGTAACAAAACAGAATAGTATACTTTTGCTAACTCCTGGAATGTAACCCTATGTTTTGTATTAATTCTTTGTTTTATATAGCATGGCATTTTTTCAGAATGTAACTATCATGTTATACAAGGGATAACTGTATATATTTTAGTGTTATGTATCATATTTTGTCAGTTTTATTTTACCATTTTTACTGATTTTATGTTGTATTGTGTGATGTTCATGCAAAATATACATAGATCGGCAAAGCAAAGCCATATAAATAACTCAGCGATAGTATAATCAAAGTATCTTATTTCACATATATGAACAGGTTCTTTTGGATTCCAACTCTACAGTGATTAATGACAATACGGCGTCAAACAATATTCCGACACACAGTTATAGTTTTTGGTCATCATTTATACTTGTCGCAAATGATATGTTTTGTAACTAATACTAGGGAAAGAAAGATGATAGGAGATAGAAAATCTAGAAAAATAGAATACAGTAAGGAGTGAAATAAGGGTTTTGTTGGACTTCACAATTTTGGGTGGGATACCATGTTGAACCTTTTCTGAAAAGTCTCTCCTCATCATCTGCACTAGGTTTCTCCTTGCACCTTGTTATTACACCATTTTATCACAACGATAATAATCCAATTCTCAAACTCTCTCGAATTCTCCAGTCATTGCCATTCACAACCTGGAGCACAACATTCAACATCTGTCCACTACGAGGTCTAGATCTAAGAATGTCCTTTCTTTCACTCACTGGCCCCAGCACCTTTTTTCTTTCATTGTTCTATGTGGTTCCAAGAATCGGTTACCCCACCCAAGGGAAAAGAGTTAGAAAGGAAAGTTCTGGAAGGAAGAAGAAACAAAGAACAAAGAGGACTAAAAACTATACTTAAATTAATATATACATTCAACCACAGTATAATTGTTTTCATTCAGGGGATGTTTTGGGGACGGTAATCTCCAGTCTACAAAAGATTTACTGAAAACATTTAATTGAAAAGTTTTTCTATTCCCCAACAGGAGCAATATAACTAGACAAAAGTGCTTTTGTCTTGTTAAACAATTTTTTGTTAAAATAGTAAAAATTTAATATTCTTCCAGCATGCAGTTTGCAATAAATCATTTTAGTCTTAAAAATATAAATTCTTACTATTGGTTGTATCTTTAATTCTTCTTTTTCAATATCTCCTTGTTGAAAAAATTCACTTGCCACCAATTCTGCAACCTAAATTTCAATAATAATTAAATTTTACATACAAATTTTAACATGTTGTAATGAATAATTGATTTTTAATATCAAATGAACAGTAAGATTCCTTTATTAGGCTAAATAATTACTAAGTACTTTGCAGAAGTATCTGCATATCAAAGATTACAAAATATTTTGTAATTTTCATGTCATCTGTATCAACTATATAATAATGTTATACATAGCAACATTTACAATATTTTATTCAGGTAGCAGGTATATTAAAATGTAATTATCACAAAATCTTTTTTTTTTTATTGTTTTTGGATTTACAATTCTAAAAAGTCTATCAAAATTCAAAATCCAATAAAAAAGTGTTTGACTACATAAGTAATGTTATTTATTCCAAATTTTCAAAATTCTCATTTCATAATTTTTTTTCTTTCAGGTGGTACAAAAGAAATGAAAATAATCAACTGTTATGCCAAAATTCAAAGTAATTCTGAAGAATACTACACTAATATGCATGCAATATGTAATCTAAAACAATCAACTTTTATGTTTTGAATTTTAATCTTGTGATTATTATATTTTTAGGGCTTCCACCAACAAAGAATGAAAAAAATAGGACAATTTTAAGTAAAGCCATATTCAGTATCTACTACAGAGCCCATTAATTCTATATAACCCCATACCACAAAGGGAAAAGAGGGGTGGTTACAATTCTTGGGAACTTGAAAACGTAGTATCCATTCAGATTTTTCTTGTATCATTTCTTCAGGTTGATTCTCAGTCTATCCTGGATATTAACATTAACATTTTGGTGGAAATATTGAAATATGGATCAGCATTTGCATCCCCTCCTCCTAGGCTGGATACAAGATGTTTCATCCCCAATTTGGAGATCCTGCTGCAAAGTCTCTTGGACAGCAAAAGGTTACTGTTGTCAGGGCTGACGAAACCAAAGCATTGGTTCTCATGCAATGTGATGCATATGAACAGGACTTACATGAATACATCGAATAAACTCAACGTGAAAGGTTTGAGGACGGGTACATTGATAAATTGCAATCTAGGGTTAAATGTTTTGCCCATACTAAGCTAACAGGGTGCCAAGCATTTTATAACATAGTTCTTGACTCCCCAGATATCCCTAACTTATTTACGTTTGCAAAGACCCATAAACATGGGCAATACCTCCATCTGGTTGTGGACAAAGCCAGAGCACCCACTTGTCTGCTGGAAAAGGCCACCCATGCCCTTCTCTAGAGAGGGATATCCTTATGTCATCACAAGCACAGTGGAGATAATATAACAAATTGCTCTCCCTGTCACATCACTGTTTTACACTTTATATCCCTCTACCCCTCCATTGAACTTCCTTCTTGTTTTTGTGTGCTCCGGGACATGCTGTTTCATATTGTCAATGATGACACTTTTCATCAACACATTCTAGAGATGGCCCATTTAATTTGTTACAGTTTGGTCTTTCAATTTAATAGTATAATCTGCAGTCAGGGAAAGGGGGTCCCAATCAGTAGCCCTGTATCTATGTGAGATCCAACCATTAGAGATCAAAATCCTCCCTCCAGTTCTCAGAAGACAGTTCTGAATTTAACAGCCTTTGTCAATACCATTTGACAATTCTTACAAGTTATTATGAAAGTGGAGCAATGTAGCCCTTCAGGGTGCACTTCTTAGACATTGATATTACTGTTAATGGGTCAGATATCCACACCTCAGTATTTCACAAACTAGGTGCTTCTTGCATCACAGTGGGGGTCATGTGATCCTCATCCTTACACAATTGCAGCTTATAAGGCATTAGTTACAAGGACTTTCACCCACTCTTCTATCCCCCCAAGCTCTTGAGGCTGAATTAACTATATACAAACTTCTGATGCAAACCAGAAGTCACATTATTTCAATTCAAAATTTTTTTTGTAAATTTTCGTCCGATGGAGATAATTATGATTAATTCTTTTGAAGACAAAGTCCTTTCCAAAAAATATAGGAACCACCATTTATTAACTTTGTGTTCCAGACATTACACTTGGCAACTGACCTTTCTTTTTAGGCTAATGGCTGCTAAACAGTCCTTTAAAAACACAAAAATATCCAATTAAAAATATAAACATTTTTTAAAAACAGGAACTAGTGCTATTCGGACGTCTTCTCTTTTCCATCATACCCTCTTGGGGTTCAGCTTTTATCTACAACGGAATAAGTGCTGATAAAATGCAAATGAGGAAAGCTGGTTAATGCAGATGAGGAAAGCTTAATAAATGGTGGTTCCTATATTTTTTGGAAAGGACTGTCTTCAAAAGAATTAATTCAATTCAAAAATTTTCCCCTGAATGGAGTTAGATAGATGACTGGCACAACTCCATTCTAACAGGAAAAGTATGATGTACAGGAGCAAGCCACTACTAATTTGAGATGAAGAGCATATTTTTAATTTAATTTAAAATATATGATTAAAAATTGCAACCCAGCATTGTGACATCATCACAATAAATTTTTGCTCGTTTAAACATAATGTTATTTTTTTAATAAAAGTTTCAGTTATAGTTGGTAAATACAATAATAAAATTATACATACCACCCTTTGAACTTTCCAGGGTTTGGTTATTGCAGCAACATCACAGGCAGTCATCAGCATGGCTCTGTAAATATTACATGATTTAAAAACTAACTTTTTACAGCTAAATTATTTTATTGCTTTTTTTATGAATCATGAATCATACCTCAAAAGTTCTCTATGTTCTTCATTTGTCCAATCATAGCTACTCTCCTTCTATATTTAAATTATTATAATAAGTTTTATTGACTAAGGATATTTATGATTACATTAATAAAGTTATGTAATGTAAAATAAATTATTTTATATTTTAATAAACACAATAAATGATTTTAATCATTGTAGACAAATAAATATTTTTAGTACAATAATGGAAAATTAATCTAACAGTGGAGAGAAAATGACATTCAGAAATAACACAAACATATTGATAAATCTCGCATATCAGAATCTAATCTATCAAAAAGTTAAAAAATTCAAAATATTATTATTATTTTTTTTTCAATAACAAAATATGGACTTAACGAAAATTGGGAGAGAAAATTCATTTTTCTTTTGAAAGTTTTCTAATTTTATTACTGGAGGATGATCGCATCTCTTTCCCAGGAGTCATTTCCTTTCCCAGGGAACTCATCAAATGTGTCACTGAGAACTAATAACAAAAATTCACAATTGGTGAAAAATGATAACATGACTTGCAGGTATAAAAGGAGTGACTCAAGGACAAGAGGTCATCAAGAGAGTCTGTCCGTGAGCGCATCAACCTAGTGTCCTGGAATAAAAGAGAAAAATTTGGGCACCGTTAAACTTCCCACTGATACAGATTATTATATCCTCCGGTTCTCCATCAATTCGACCACCATAAAAAAAAGAGGAAAATTTAACGCCTCCCCACCTGCTCCTGGATTTCCAACCGAACAACCAACCAAAGTTCATCCATCAGGAAGTCCACATAATTATAAGTGAATCAAAGATATCTATACCAATGTGTAGTTTATTGTAAACTCTCTCTCTCTTGACCATTATTCAATATATGAAGATGTATTCTTTATAGTTGAATTAAATTGTTATTTTAGTTGTTACCCTTGTATCCGAGTGATTCACTTCTGATCCGTAGTCTCTCAACACCCCTCCATCCTGAATCTGGTCACCTGCACACGTGACCGCTCATGCAAATTCCAAAGTTGCGGCCGTTATCTGTGTCTATCCAGAAGACACAGTGGTGTCAGTCTTGGCAAGGCACTAAAGACGTGCCGACCCTATGGTCACACTATTAATTTAAATTTGGTTTAGTTACACATTAATTTAAGTCTCTCTTAAGATCTTATTCAACATTCACAATCACAGAAAATTGGAAATTTAAATTCATTAATATTAAAAGAAATTAGTAAAATTTAACTGAGAGAACATTCAATTTCAACTTTTGAATATAAACAGTGCATTAGTTATACTTTACTATTCTGTTTGATATAAACATTCAAAATATATGAGGCAAGTCAGATTTCAAGATTTCAGAACTAAAATAAATAGTATTTGCTAAAAATAAATGTAATCATGTGAAGAGCATAAAAATAGTCTAACTTGGAAGTTTTCCAGTATAAGAAGACACTATACATACCTTAAACACTTTTCCAACAACTAAGCTTAATTAAAACAAATGTTTTCAGCCAAATTGATAAGCTTTAATCTGATGAAGTCTTAACAATTAGGCTTAAAATGTTTATTTTGATTAAATTTAGTTGCTGGAAAAGTGTATAAGGTGTGTCTAGTATCTCCTTATACTGAAGAGCATCTTCAAGTAGAACTTTTATCATAATTATATAAAATCATATCTAGCGCAAAAGCAAATAAATAATAAAAATTAATTAATTATATTGGAGAAAAACTAAATTCAATAAAACTTAACTTTTAACAAACTGAAGAATGATCCTCAAATAAATCAGTAATTATGTTCAATTGAATGAAAATAGAATAATGTTTTGAAATATAATCAGCTGTCAAATTAGCATCTTTTAAAGTTTTGAAGAAGATATAATAGTATATTTAAATAAATCTAAAGAAAAAGCACAACCATCAGAAATCAAGCTATGCAAACCCAAGAGGGAGAATAAAGACTAACAAATCAAGATTTTGATAGGAGGAAATCAACAAAGTAAACACACTGATTCTGAAGAAAACAACAACCCACTAACAAACATCTGCTCCAGATGTTAACAGATCAAACAAACATACAAATTTCCAAGAAAGATTTGATCTCCAGTGATTAACTGTAAAATATTTTAATATTTATTTTTTCTGTATTATTAGAATTGTCAACTGGAGAAAATCTCTTCAGGGGACATGCTAGTAAAAAATGAGGGACTTTCACATGAAACAATTTATTTCTTAAACATACATTTACTTTGAGATTGTGCTTCAGAAAGCTTTTTATCTTTTAGCACTGTTGTATATATCTATTGACAAGATTCCTTTGAATTTAACTTAATTATCAATTCACTACTTATTAATTTCACAGAACACCTATTTTGGTTTTTTGTCCAAAACATGATCATAAGAGAGAAAGCTCTTTCTACAAAAGCATTACTCAGGCAAATGGAATACTCAGGCAAAATGATAATAATTTGACTAAGTTTGACAATAGAGAGGTTGAGGCGCACGTTTTAAACGTGTAAACGTGTACGTGTGACGTTCGGCGCCGCTTTCCCGTAAGCCTAAAAGTTTGACAATGGTGTTTGGATAGTCGGTGGAATCACACTCGACATTCCAAACACCATCGTCAAACTTTTAGGCTTACGGGAAAGCGGCGCCAAACGTCACACGTACACGTTTAAAACGTGCGCCTCAACCTCTCTAATGGTTTACTACAATTCAAAATTACATAGGAAAATTAATTTTTATAGTCAATCATGGCAAGATAATTTGTTGCATTCTACTTTGCATATAAAATGAGTGTTCTCAACCTACAGTTTATGCATGTATTTTGAGTCTTGTGATCCTTATTTTTGGCAATTTACAGGTCTGTTTCAGGCCTGTAAATTGGCTGAAAATGTTTGTTCTGTGATTAAAGTTATTGCTGGAAAAGTACGGAAGGTGTCTTTTTGATTTTATCGTCAAATCAGGTTATTTATCAAAAAAGAATCTGTTTTCTGAGTTGGCTACTTTTGGCCTACTTTTTAAAAAAAATGTGCCTAGAAAAGCTAAAAACATCTGGCAACACTGAAAGCAAGTCTGATTCTGTATACAAGAAGTGACATGAATCCTTATGTGATCAGCAATTGATTAAGCTAACTTCGCTTGTTGATCTATCACATGTCCTTGGTCCACACTACACTTAAATATAATTCATTTTCAATAAATATGTTTTTATAAATTTCTTTAATAGTATCATTTTAAAATATTTTGCAGGATTTTCACGTGTCTTCACATGTTGAGGGATTTTATCTGAAAATGCATGACAGTGCCGCATAATGCAGGATAGTTGGCAACCCTATGTTTTATGGCAGTTTGTTTTTATTTTTATATATCTATGCATTATTTTTTTAAAAGAAGAGAGATATGTAGTGAACAACAGATGTGATAACAATTCGGGGAATAAGTTGTGTACTGAGATATTCCTCCTTGTTTAAAGGCGAGTGCAAGAGAAAGTTGGGGACAGTTACCCATAAGACAGATCACAAAGATGTGTGTTAACTAACTATATCTTTCTTTTATTAGAGTTACTTGTTCATAACAAACACTACATTGTCTTAAAGGTAAATTTTTACATTTGATTTATAATTCATTCCTCTAACATTATATTTATCATATTTGGTTGCAATTTCAAACAATAGATGGAGTCACTAAACTTTCAATAAAAACAAATTAACAATATGCAGATATTTTCAAAACAGTAAATCATATCGCTTAACTTCCCACATACAAAAATAACTAGATAAATATAAAGTACATAATATATTAATCTAGATGTAATTATCAACAAAAAATCATATGAAAATTAAAAAAAACTCAAAATATAGAGAAAATTTATGAGCTATCTAGCTTATAACACATGATAGATCACTTCTATTTATGCTTTTTTTATATCTGCAATATTTTCAATGAAGCATTGAAAATTATGACAGCAAAATATAGTATATATTATAATAAAAAGTTATAGAAAATTCTTTTCTTCAAATTATTTTTACTGTTTTGTTCACTTTAAAACAAATATTTATATGTACTAAAAGCTAATATTAGATAATATTAAATATATATGATGACAACACTGAATATTATCAAATGAACTTTTTTTTATCAAATTTCACTAATATAATTATATTGTCTACAATATAACCAAAACACATATATAATATAACCAAATCTTAAACTGTCAGATTATTTTACCTGTTCTTGTTTAAACTGTAGACTGCAACCTAGTCCTTTCTTACAGAATTTTCTGAATTATAAAGATATAGTTTTTTTTTTTTTTTGGTTTAAGTTTAGTTTTGTAAAAATAAATTAAATTGTTAAGAAATAAGATTAAATTAATAGTAAGCTTAGCAAGTGTTTGGTGTTTGAATATATTTGTAAGTAAACGGCTGAGGAAGTGAGGATAAGAAATAAGATTTTAGTTTTATTGAGAGAAATAAAATATAAATTTAAGTATGTGATGAGTATCTACACTGTGCATTATTTGATGACTTCAGACAACTGCACCATTCAGAAATTGCATAACCAATATTTATCAAGTATTTTGGCTCAGTTATGTAATGATTTGCTATATAATTAATTTAAGCCTAATTAATTTTTATACTTTAACTGCAAAACATAAAATTAAAAAAAAAATTGAATCAGACATTTTTTGAGTTTGATAAATTTATTTCTAAAGTTGACCTCTTGTAGCCAGAAACAGAATAATTTGTAGATAAACCTAAGCTGGACTTCTGGTAGGATGTTAAATACAGTATCATGCAGTGAATTTGATGATAGGGAAGCTGTGCTACTCCTGGATAGAATCATTGAAAGCATTATACAATATTTTGGTGTGTAGCATCTATGAGCTAAACTGTGTAAAGTTGGTGCTCTGTAAAGCACATGCGCAAATGCATTTAATCTGGCTGCTTTACACCATTCAAATATTTTGGCTGTGGAAGCTGTCCCATATTTGACAATACAGCACTTCCATTGGGGATATGCATATACGAATTTATATTCAAATATAAAATAGTAATCTTATCATTTTTTTCACATGTATAGAAATTTGTAATAAAATAAATAATGCGGTTATAATAAAATATTAATTTAAATTAATTCAAAGCACGTTAAAATATGACAATAATCACACAATATGTATTTATATTTTAGTAAATGTGGTGCTTCCACAGCTTCCATCGATGGCATGCCACTGGTAAAATATAAGTTACTTAAAATTTGTAAAAATAAGTTGACTTCATTCAAAAAAATCATAAAATCATTGATAAGTATATTGTTGATAATCAATATGAACCACTCTCATTTCCTCAATGATCCAGGAAATGGGTAATAATTTTGATTGTGATAGGAACCATACAGAATGAAATTTATATATTAGACTAACCTGAAATATACAGCCAGATCAGTAGCTAATATTGCATGCTCAAGCACATGAACAACATGCGAATATTCCTCTGGTGACAGATGACTGAGTATTTGGTTTCCCTAAAAGAAATATAGTTACCCAATCAATTTTAGAAACATATTCAAGTTATATTCAATATGATTACAAATAAAATACAAAGATAAAAAGCTAACCTGACTATTTAGTATCATTATGCATTGGTCAAAATGATGATGCTCCATTGTAGATGTAGAATATAACTGAGCTAATGGGGAACATGATCTATATATTTAAGAAAAAAATCATATACTTTTTATATTTTTATAATATGTAAACTATATATTTTTAATTAAAATTTCATTTTATCATATAATATAAAAACTTACTTACTTTATCTGAAAAGAATTATTAGTACCTCGATGGTCTAAATCATGACAGAGACATGCAATTATGAGAGCCATTGTTTCAAGTTCTCCCAACACCTTCCATAATTCTGTATTCTGTGCAAAAATTTTTTAAAATATTAACTAATATATTTTTAGAATCAAATATACTATGAAAATTCTAAATTATCAATGCAATTTATATTTATAATAATAATATTTTATTTCATGATTCTTATTTTAACAAGATATTACAATTTTCTACTGATAATTATATTCCAATCTTACATTTATAGCAAAAAAGAATAAATTTTATATATATAAATAATAAAATAACTTAAGAAAATAAAATTAAGATATATTAAAGTCACATTATACTTAATCTAACATAACAAAGGAAACTAAAGTTAGAATTTGCCTACATCTCTTGTATAAATATTTTTAATATATTAGTGTAAAAAATTTAAACAATTTTTCTTTTAGTTTTGGATCTTCATTAAGTTTGTCAGTAAAATAAGTTCAAAGTTCATATCTAGATAAATATTCAAAACTTTTCCCAGTTTAAGTTTTAATTACAAATAGTTTACATTACAAATAGTTTTGTTTTTCAAATTCTGCCATTAATATGAGACCAAATAATTGCTAGATTATATCCAGCAATCAAATAACAGGCAAATCATTTGGCTTTAATATATAACTATCAGGCTTTAGATGTTGATATTGATTTCGGACATTACATGATGGAATACAGAATATTAAGTTTTTCAAACTTAACTTTTGTATCAAATATGGTAATATTCATTTTCACAAATTTATAGTATTTGCATTATTTTATCCTCAAGGAAGTTCAACAATGATGATGATTATCATGCTGTTATTAGTGTAAAAAGTATAGTACATATCATACCTATAGTAGTTTTGAAACAATTTGGCTTATTTTGGTTTAAACCAATAGTGGGAAGAAACTATAGCCTGTGGCACATGTCAGTCTGTTATGTCAAATATGTTTGCAGGCCACATAAAGTGATAGAAATGGATCTATTTTAAGTATGTATGAAATATATAAAATATCTATGGCTTGCTATGTATGACTTATGTTCCGTTTGGTCTGCCAATTAAAAAAGTTTGAATTCAAAAAAATTCTATTAAATATACATAATTACATATATATGGTGCAATCAAAGTCACTCTGCAGAAGGCCACACCCATGTGGCTCAGCCAAATGGTGACATTATAACTTACTTTAACACTTTCAATGCATGGTCTGTCTATGATGTCATTTGTGTCATCCCTGTATACATGGTATATCGTCAGTCTTTGTTGTTGTCATGTAAAAAAATTGTTTTCTTTTGCTTCTGTTTTATTTTTTAGTGTATATATACACTAAAAAATAAAACAAAGAATCCAAATATATATTTTGTCTACCGTCAATGTTATTGTTGTAAATGATCATCTCCATATCTCCATTACTGTACACACAGTTTTATTTTTAATTGTAAGGAAAAAAGGGGGAATTTTTTTTGTGTGTGTTTTGGGTGTTTTTTGTGTGGCAGCACTGTATCAGTGATGGGGATGATATATGGTGTGTGGGACCGGCAACACAGCATTATGGTTACTGGTGTTCAGCTCTTGGGAGTGTGTCGTCCCCTTGTAGCTGTGTATGGTGAACTCTTCTCTTGGTTCATCATGGTAATTTGTGGTTTTGCAATCCATTTCTATCGGTGAAAGGAATAGCGAAACACAGTATAAACTTTGTATAATTGAAAAAATAGTTGGTATCACCGAGTGAATATTTTTAGCCTGTTTCTTGGACTTGTTTGATGGTTCTTCGCCAAAGGATTCTATGGTGCCATGTACCCTAGTGCTTGGGGATATTGTATATACATTTTGTACATAAAAAGTTACTTTTTAAGTATCTCTCATGCTTCTCTCTCCTTATGGTAATTCACTTCATTCACCCCTGCAAATATTAACCCTATGGATCTTCACAGATCCCACACATTACATTGTTTCTGGAAGCTCCTTCAGTTTCCCCATCCACTGCAGAGTGACTTTACAATCACACTGTATATAAAATAGTTTTAAAGTAGTAATTGTTACTTGGCACCTCCATATTAGACAGCCATAAACCACCACTGGTTTGTATTAAACTTGTACTGTTTTCATTATTATGATATTACCCATACAACACAACTAATTGTAAGAGAATTTTAATTGATTTCATTCTTTTTATGCTAAAATCTTATACTGCTATATATTGATACAATAATTTACAAACATTCAGATTTTAAATAGTGATATCAAAATTAATAAAAATTTTCATTATCAGTAATGTTTGTTATTAACATGTTAATGAATTAAATAATTTAAAATGCAATTTATTAATTATAACAGTGTTAGTTAAGGAAATGACAAGACTTACCAAGAGAATGGCAAACATCATTTGTGCAACATTAAATGCATGTCTCCAATTATGGTAAGTTACTTGTCGGTAATTCTTCTTGACACTCAGTAACCACCTACATAATACCTATTTAGTTTAAATTTGCATTTAAAAGCTTTTCAGCATTTATTATTTCTAAAAAAACATACAATTCTTGAAGAAAGAGTATAGGTTATTATATTAAGATGATATTTCTGAACAGACTTCGTTCGTTAAAGCAATTTTCTTATATATTCCATTCTAATTAATATATAAATATCACTCTAAAGTAAAATTACCAAATTTTTAAATATAACATTTTTGACAGCTAAAGTTTGAATAATTTCTCAATAAATAATAATTTTGTATTTATTTGATTCTAAGCCATGCTTTTTTTGTCATTTTAATGACCCTGAAAATGGGTATGGCTTACATTTGAAGGTGACTAAATTTTATTTGAAAAACAATTTTTGAAGTAAATCTATTCTATATCATGTCTACTATCCTCTGTTATAATTTCATCATCATTCAACTAGTAATTTTTAGTCAAGATCCTTTTTTCTTAAATGATCAATCAATCTGCCATAAGATAATATTGGATTGCTTATTTTGTAATATTTTTAACTTTTTTGAGGTGTACTCCAGTAAATATATGAGTTGTCTATGGTGGGCTCTACAGAGTATGGATGTATATATACACTTCAAATTTGTCTCATTGTAGTGAAATTGTGGAAATTGTGAATTGGTGATAATCCCAGGTGATATGATGAGCCAACTCCAGCCACTTGATGTTTTCATCAACATGTCTTTTAACTCTCTAAGCTTTGAAAATGTTTTTTATTCATGTAGCTAAAGACTAAATTGTTTTTACCCCTCAGGCTATTTGGGGAACTACAGGTTTTTCTACACAAGTTCCCCTTGTATAGAAAAACCTGTAGTTCCCCAAATAACCTGTCAAACTACTTTTCCATTGGCTGATTTCATTTTGAATGAATAAAGATGTTTTAGTTTGATTTCATGTTTAAACAGTTAAAGACTACATAAGAAAAGAATAAGAAAATTAGTTACATTCAGAAAACCACATTTTAACTGCTTCTGGAGAAATAAAGAAGGAAAGTGCTTAAAAAATTGCAGAGTGGGTATCTGTCTCCTGGAAAGTTCCCAGTGATATAATAATTTATTCCTTTAAAAAATGCTGCATTACAAATGCAATGGATGGCACAGATGACTTAGTTTGGGAAAATGACACCAATTCCAAAGTTAGCTGTGTTAGTGCAACTGATGAATCATTTTCACAATATTATACAGAGAACAATTAAGATTTACTTTAAATTATGTATTTAAGATTTCCTTTAATAAATTAATTCTTCATTCCTTGTTACTTTTAATTTTTTGAACTTTGTAAATAAATCTTACTAGCAGTAATTTTTACTTTTTCATGAAAACCTTTTGAGAAATTGAGGTGTGGCTTAGAATTGAATAATATGGTAATAATAATGTCAAATCTCTGAATTTTAATAATTGAATTAGCTCAATTATATGATTTTATGATTTAATAATTTAGATATATCATCATCTGTTGATAACATTAATTAATAAATGAAACTAAATTTCAGATGATATATATATTTGAAGTAGCAATATTCCAGAGTGAGATCCAAGTCGACAATGATCACCTAGTATGAATGTGCAATTGTAATTTTATAAATTGAAATTAATACAGATATGTTTGAAGGAATATCCAACTAACTAACATAGCTAGTTAATTTGGACAGGCTTTTTTTTCTTTGTCTAAATTATTAATCATTAATGTTACTAACAGATGGCAGCATTATTCTGTAATTCAAATTTTAAAATCGCAATAAATATAAATTACTCAATTCTAGATTAATATTTGAATATTCATAAATAGATATTTTTACAAACACTTTAACAAAGAAAAAATTATTATATTTTAAAGTAAGGATTCTCAATCTGTTTTGCTTGTTGACCCTTTTGCAACAGTAGATTTAATATTTATTAACCTCATCCTTCTGCTGATACAAAATAAAAATTAATTTTTATTTACTTTTTGATTCATCTTAGTTTAAGTATAGTAAAAAAAAGTAAATTTGTCCACCAACCCCAAATGTCTAATTTGTCCACCAACCTCTAGTCATTTATTGACTGCCTATACACATTGACTGATCCTTTAGGGTTGCTAGTAGCCATGTTGGAAGCCCCTCTTCTAAACAAACATTTTTAACTTATTTAAAAAGTCATCTTCAGGTTACATGTTAAAGAAATTAGACTAGAATAAATCATTAAGCAATTTTATGTTTATGAAGATTTGAATGGGAAATTTGAAAGTTTATCTTGTTAACATTTTTTCAATAAGTATAAAAACATTCAAATGAGTATCCAGATTTCATATAATATAATTTAAGTAAAATTAAAAATAAAAGCAAAAGAAGTTCTAAAGAAATGTAGAATTTGGTAATTTTATAAATAGTTATATTGACATATAGTATTNATACAATGTAGACAAAAATTAATAAATATATAAAAATCCAATAAATATTTTGGGATGATATGAATGATGTTATCTAAGTTAGTAGTATATTAGTGGAACTGCCAAGTTTCATAGCAATTGGTCAAATGGCCTAGGAGTGTATAGTAAACAACATTTTCATTTATAGATATAGATGATTAGTTACCAATTTTTATCACAAAAAAACGTTTTTTTTACTGATGACAAAATAAAAATATTTGATATTAACCAAAAATTTGTTCTAGTGGTTCAGTTGAGTATCAAGGTACCACTGTATTTGATTAATGCAATTTTGATATATGTGATAGCATCAAGAGATTAATTAACAGTGTTAATCATGGTATACTGTGTGTGTGTATATACACGAGGGCTGTTCGGAAAGTTCGCGGCCTTGCCTATATGCGGTGCTGCGATCAATTTAATTTTTGGCGGGAATAATTCAGCCATCTTTGCTAAATTAAATAATTTTTGTATTTATTCAATATTAAATTTTTTGATGAAAATAAATTTCATTACTTTTATTTGACTCCAACATACCAAAATCACAGAGCATGTAGTACCTCATAGTCAATATGGAACCTTTCTATTAGATCCAAATCCACAAACATTTTCAGACAGGCTTTTAGCATATCATCTTCATCAAGACAAAAATCATTGAATTTCAAATCATTTAATATGCAGTCTTGATTAAATGTGGGAGACAAAGCCTGAAAAATGAATTAAAATAAAAAAATATATTTAATGAATTTTATATTTTATTTAAAGGACAAATTATTCTTTATAAAGTAACTTTATTACAGTTGACCCCCTATAATGTTGTTGATTATTCTGTTTTATACGAATTCCATGTTGTACGAGTCACTTAGATTTTACAAATACGTGAGTCATTCACAGCAAAGCACACGTATTTGTAAAATCTAAGTGATTCGTACAACATGGAGTTCATATAAAATGGAATAATCAACAGTGTTATAGGGGGGGGTCAACTGTATATGAAGAACAAAACATTAATACTCAATATATGGGGCAGAAATTCAGAAGAAAAAAAAATTTATCACTGCTAAACAAGCATATTCCAATGCAAAAGAAAAAAAAAATGTTGGTAATAAGTTTTTCATTTTTAAATTTAAAATTGCTTAATTAAATATAATTATTTATTAACATTATTAAATAACATTATTAACAATGTTTACATTACAATTTTATAAATAAATTTTTCATATACTATAAAATAAAATTGTTAGTTAATAAGCTTTTAAATATGTAAAACTTGTTTCATACTATCTAATTTTCTTTTAAAATCAAATTAAAATTCAATATAACTTGTAATCAGGGATGACATTCGAAATATTTAACAAAGGGTTCGTAACAGAAAATTTTTCCTTAACAATTTTTTTTTTCGCTCAAATAGTGCATCGGAAGGCTCTAGTTTAGTAGTGTTACAGAGTATAATACGTATATTTTAATATTTTTAAAAGAATCAAACCATTGAGAAATGTTACATATGTTTAACAAGGTTCGGAAAACTTTGAAAATGTTAACAACGGGTTCGGCCGAACCTGTGCGAACCCGCTGAATATCACCACTG